ATAAGAGCAGACACATCTAGCACCGTCAGGGAGGCTCCATCTATTTGTGGGGAGCAGCACCTGCTGGAAATCGGGTCCAGCGTCCCCTTGGATACATCTTTATAGCACAGTGTTTGTTGGGCATATGGCCATTAGAGTTGTTGTTCCCGAGCTTCCTTCTCTCCCTCGGGGCTGCCTATGTTACCCTTCCAATTTGCAAAGTTCTTACTTCCCACTGACCTAGCCCCACCCAGGATAGTGTCCACCGTGCTTYAATGTCTACGCACGTCCTGGCGGTAATGGCTCAACTCCTACCCTTGGTGTCTGCAACCCCCCTTATTCTAAMCCCCCATTTTGTAAAACCCTTTGTACCTTTTTAAAAATTGTACCGACATCAAAATCCAGTGTTCTCCACAACAATGAGCCTTGATATTCAGCACCCTCCATTGTTCATAAATACAACATCTAATCCTGGAGGATCTTTCAGACCCCTGAAACCTCTGCCTTTTCATAAGTTTTGCGTACCGCAATCTGATCCTTCGACCTGCGTCAACAGGGGAGCAATGCGCAATCTAATCCTTGCACCTTTTGTTTGATTGAACAGACCTCCTGGTCCATTATTGTGTATAGGGTGTCAGCTGGATCATGGCTCTCCCAGCCCCTACTCTGGAAGACAGGCCGGCATCTCCATTAATAGCCAATCTGACAGATTAGCAGTGTACAGTTATAGTGGTGCATAGTTGTAGTCTCAGGCTGGCTGGCCACTCACAGGGCTGATTGAGAGAACAGGGGAGGGGACAGAGCGAAGGGAAGGGAGGGAGGCATCAACGGGACAGAAGGGGGCGGCTGGGACGGGATAGGGGGGGACTGTGAAGGGGGTGGAGCGGGTGGTACGGGAGCTGCGGGAGGCGTGGCTGAGGGGAAAGGGGGGAACGACAGAGGGGCGGGAGGAGGGGGATGGGACGAGGGAGGGGGGGCTTGCATAGGCGGTGATGGAGAGGTATATTCCCGGCAGTCCTGGGATAAGGCCCGGTCGTTATTACTTCGTGGTACTTCGTCCAACGCTCGGTCCGGGTTTCCGGGAAGAGGTGTCAGGAAGCAGTTTGGCGATCTGTAAGTCCACCTGTGGTCCTCCACGGCCCAGTTCTTCCACAGCAGACTGCCATCGGGTGTACTTCTGCCATTTTACAATTGGGGTCTAACCATGTTTGTGTAAAGGCCCTGATCGCTCGAAGTTTGCCCTCCCTGTCTTGAGTTGCCCCCACCTTTTTTTTTAACTTTTGGCTAGCTCTCAGCAAATTTGCTCTGATCACTTCGAGCAGTTCTTGTTTGGCTTGATGGAAGCCGAAGTTACCTTCTTTGCGTTCTGAGCACCTCATTCTCCATATTACCAAAAGCAGGGCAAGCCTCATGTATTTAAAGAGGTTCGTCTGGAAGAGCGACCAAGCGGGCGAAAAGCTTTTCCTGTTGCCTAATAGAATGAGGGCCACATTCCATTGCAAGGGCGATGCAGTGAGTTCATGCCACATCGCGTCCCACCATTGCCACACCTGCAATGCCATTGGGCACGCCAACAGACAGTGTTCCAGATCTGCACGTCTGTGTTGCGCGCCTTCCCCGCAGAAAGAACAAATGGGGGACATGACTTCTGTCTGTTCCAGCTTAGTGCGTGCTATTATCCAGTCTGGCGTCGGGAGACAACGGTGTGTTATCTGCCACTGCAGGGCCCTGTGAGATGTCGGCATTATGTGTGCATATGTGGGTCAAGTAATGTGGCACAGATCCCTATCTTGCAGTGGCGAATCCCTCCTCCATCTCTTTTGTACCACCATCGTGGAGTTGTGTTTTTTGTGCGCTTGTTTATAGCCTCCTCTCACATTGTATTGTCAAATCTCTGTCAGTTTGCAGCCTTTCCACTCCCACTCTTCAGGGTCGAATGGGAGTGCACACACCGGGTTAGTCATTTCATAAGCAAAATAGCCTAAGTCCTCAGTCCCCACGACTCTTATCCTAGATAGTTCTTCTAGTGGGAGTATGCAGTCCAAATCATGGTTCCTTTTCAGCGAAGCCCAGCGAGCTCCCGGCATATCTGGTGMATAGGCCTGCAGCTGCACTCCATGGYCGGTGYTGTGGCCAACTCTGAAGATGGTCATAGGGATCGGATTATCGGTAATCCTTATAACCCAGTCTTGGCAGCGCACTGTTRGTCCATCCTCCAGGGCCGYCACCCAAGCGGGCGGAACTGCGCAGTGTATGAGGCCCAACTTCTCCTGAATTTTCTTTATATGTTTTAGCTTTAGTCGCAACTGTTCTACCGTCTTCCAGGTGCCTCTTTGACTGTCCCAAAGATCCCCCACTACGAAAAGGCCATTTTTCACCCATGTAAGCCAGTGTGAGCTGGTCTGCAGAGAGAGGGGGGATCCGGTTTCATCGCAGATGTGCGGGT